GTGTAGGATTTATTTTCAATGAATTTGATACATGCAAGCAAATTCATTATTTGATCAAATTTCACGTGAAATTACCAGGTTTATTGCACATACACACGAAAAATTGATCTGTTTATCACAGCTTATATGGCTGTCAATGTCAGTGTGAGTGGGAAAAGATGGTCTACATAATAGGCACACCTGCACCCTTCACCGAACAGCCAACCCATGTAAACACACTGCTGAGCAAGTAAATCAGAAATTGACTCTGACTTCTCAAGGACAAAGACGAGACTTCAATACTCAAAAGTACTAGTGAAGTGCTGTACTGCATTCATGGTTCACTCGTACTTGTCCTTCAGTAGTACTTCAGAGTACTGAAGTCTCGCTATTTCAGTCTTGCCCCAATCACAACTAACAGAGTACATTTAGAAAAGTGTTCTCACTTTTTAAATATCTTTCAGCGTTCAACATATGTTCTATTTCTTAGAACAAGCTATATAGCAACTGCTACAGAAGCTAGTGTAAAAGTAGGTAAGGTTCATCAAATAAATGTTATTAAAGAAAATGAATTTTATCTTCTTCGTAGGTTAATCAAGTGATTTATGGATTATTACCTTGTCGGTAATAGGATTTCTCGCTCTATTGAGCTTCTATTGTTGCTATTGGTGGTGAATGTTGTAAGTTTATTTCTATCCACGCTTACATTTTAAAAACAAATGAGATATTCTTTTGCTTCTTTAGCGCTACAGCTCGTCGTCGCTGAGCAGATAGAGAAAAAAAGTAGACGCCAAAGAAATATTTGCCGATAAATAAAAAAACATGAACAAAATTCAAAGCTGACGGTTTTTTTTTCAATTAAGCTCTATTTTTGACATATCGAAAGATGAAAGCTTTCAATAAGAATCTCGAACGAATAGCATTAGTTTTGCATCTGCAAATTGCTTCAGTCGAATGGACAAACCTTTTACAAATGAAGGAAACAAAAATATTAAACTTTCAAACCGCAATGAAGACATTAACTTGACGAAAGTTTGGTACTAAGAAAACCTCATCTGTCAGTGTGATCAAATTATCGAGAGGAAAGTTCGTAAAACTGCAGGGTAATATTGTCGAAACATCAAATCAACTGTTTCGTCTCGACAAAATAAACAGATAACAGATAAGTTACTTTCAAAAGCACTAATAATGGTTTATTGCGAACAAACGAAAGACAAGCTACAATAATCAGTATAATTACATTACCTCAATCAAACTCACCATCTTGCATGCCTAATGAATGTGATGCCAAAGCGGGTAAATCATCAAAATCTATTGCACGCTAGCAATTAAGAACAGCAAGGCAAAGTAACTTTATTAAGCAACAGTGCAAAAATTTCCATGATAGTTATTAGATTGTCTAGTACGATATTATTTGCAAATATACAAGCCTTAATTCATGTATCATAAAACAAACGCTATTGTAACTTTTTGAGTAGCTAGATTAGCTTCGAAAATCAGTGTTACTAACATCAACTTATTGTTCTAGTTTTTTCACAAATAAAATATATTCATTCAAAACGTACCGATATCATCTCAATTTTAAGTCAATATTCACAAAAGATTTAGAATAAAGTGCACAGCAGAAAGATAATGCATGAAGGCAATCGATCGAAATCAAAAATCCAGTTTTCAATTCAATGATCACTGTAGACTGTCTCGAAATTCAAACTTTTCAATTAGTTCGATTTTGTTCCTAGAAAGCATTGAAAAGAATAATAATTATTGTATTCGAAGTAGCTATAAGAATGAGTTTCTCCACATCGTTTAGACTTGTCTTAGTCACACCTAGCATGTCCTTAGAAAATACACTCATGGCTTATACAGAATCATGAAACCTTTTCAGTAACCGTGTTTTAGAAAAAAGAACTCTTTGATACGCGTCGCATCACATGGAAGGCGTCATCATCATTTTCTACAACGTAAAAAACAAATATGATTCGAAACTTTTCTTATCTAAAACTAATAAATTAATATCGAAAACAAGATATGAATATCTCTTGCTAGGTTGTCATTAAGTTTCAATATCCTGTAAAATTTTTCTTATTTAATTCGATTATAGTTAAAGTAATTGCAATTGTAAGTTAGTTAGTGAATCATGAACGGTTGTAAAACAACGATTTGATAAGATTAAGAGACCGTTCGTAAAACGACCCGCCAAAATAGTTGGGACCAAGCGCCAAAAAATTTTCGTCCTTGAAACGAGCTTGCTAGTTTGAAAGAGCATAAAAAGTTAGTCAAAAATCGGCACATTAACAATTTTTTGGCAATGTCTTACAATACTATAACATTGTGTTTATTGGAAAACGAAAAAATAACATGATAATAGGTGACATCAACCATTTTCAGCTTATTTCGCATACTGATTTTTTACTACTTTCGTGTTGGTTTTGCTGTTACTTTTCATGAGCACAAAATGAATTTTACATAGTCTTGTAGAGAATGAAAAGACATCTTTTGCGAATAAGAGTATTAGATATAAAGTACTAGCAACCGTGTCAAAAGTTCATGGCAATGTCATTGACTCTACATCATTTTTTGGTACTTTTCATGAAAATGTCTCATCAATGTTTTTTATTAAAATATTGATTTCTTTTGAAAAATTTCAAATTATTTGATAGAAAATCTAGAATGCTTTTGAAAATACGATCAGAACATAATCTTCTCACTTGTTTTTGTTAACAAGATTACGTAAAACGAAAGAGCATTTCACTTTTAAATTGATATGAAATAAAGTGTGATTGTAAGTTGAAGTGAGAAGAAGATTTATACCCATACCCGCATTAGTGTTGTAGTTATTACATTTTCTTGATTGTTTTCATCTTCATTTATTATCTCGCTATCCATTTGATCACAAAAAAGTGCTTAGATTTTCCAATTCGAGATTTTTCTGTGTGAGTAAAGCATGTGAATTAAGTAAATTAATAGAGTTAACTATCAGCTGAAAGCAGAATGGTGTTTTTACTTCACGAATAGGGATTGAGAGCAAAATATCTTTTCCATGGAAAATTTTTTAATGTTGTTACAATGAGTTAACAGATCAATCAATAAGACTGATGGCAAACTGTACATGTCAATGATCATGATTTATTCAATAATAACAGATTTTCTTCTATACCGAATTTGCAATGAGAAAAAAAAAGTTTTTATATGAAAATGCAGAAGAAGTGGCAATCCTGTGCAAAACCTCCAGTTTCTTGTTCATGAACAATTGTTTATCTGAAGCATAGTGTGTACTAATTTTTTTCTCTTTATATTTCTGAGAATTTACCTATTTTTTCAAAAAAGAAATGTTATAACAATTGAAAACGGTGACGTACGCTGTCGTTTGTAATTTAAAAAAAAACTTTTACTCACTTTTTCTTTTCTTCGGAGAATAAAAATTAGACATCCAGCTCAGAAGCAAGGGAAACTCGAAGTCAATCAAGTATTCATGATTATGCTTTTGTAGTCTACCTTCGGGCAGAAATTCTAAAACAGAAAGGAAAAGTCATTTCAATACATGGCAATGGTTATAATGAAGCAGTGTTTTTCTTCCTTTTTTCTTCTATTGTAATTGTGTAAAATATATATAGAGCGGGCCATAAATAACATGGTGATAAAATATTCAGAGGTCTCTATTCCGGTTCAATCAAATGAGCTGATCTTTTGATTAGTGATAGAACTTTATTTAAATTTTTTTTTATTCATATCAATAATGTAAACAAATATTTGTATTAAGTATCATTATTGACTTCACCAACGAAATTTTACCTATTGTCAAGTAAGAAAAATACATGTGAAGCGTTCCATAGATATTTTTCAATAGGTACCTAAGAGAATGAGAAGAAGAATTGAAAACAAACTTTATGAATGGTACAACATTGATGTAAATAAAGAAAATTTTCAGAAACAGTTAGGTTATATGCTAAAATTCATGTCTGATAACGAAAATGCACGATTACAGCTCTTTGAGCATCCAATCACCAATTTTATTTCAAAAACTAGTATTTCATGCCTAGAAAGTCGAAATATCGTAACTCTCGACTTTTAAACTAATTATTTCTGAAAACTTGCTTTATTTACATCAATATTGTACCATTCATAAAGTTTGTTTTCAATTCTTCTTGTTATTTTCTTAGGTACCTATTGAAAAATACCTATGGAACGCTTCATATGTATTTTTCTTACTTGACAACAGGTAAAATTTCGTTAGTGAAGTCAATAATAATACTTAATAGAAATATTTGTTTAAAAATATGATGAAAAAAAAACAGAACACTGATTAAAACTATTCCTATATGTTTATATTTAGTGTCATATATTCTCTAGTTTCAATTACTACTAGTCATCACTGTAGAATTCCTTTTTATGTCTTCTTCGTAACTATGTAAAACAAAAAACAGCATTGTGTAACCATGATCTTACGTGTCAAAAGGAAACAATACTTCTAGTTCATAAAATTCTATGAAAAGAAAATGTTTTTCAAGGTAAGTAAATATGGCATTAGTCTATACCAATTGAAGACTATATTCTGATTAACAGAAGTTGAAAGATCTTAATTTTGATCATTAATTATAATTTTGACGATATAATTTACTTTACAAATATCAATTTAGTTTATTCTAGGTAGTTGTCATGGTCATGACATTGGCATTCTAGATGTCTTATATTAAATATACAGGCGCTCTGATCTTTATTCACTTTTTCCTTTTGTTGACAATATAACCAATATGTTTGCTCCATGTGACTCAAAAAAAAAGTACGTGAACAAAAAGAAAAGCACAGTATTCTTTCAGAACTTTGAATTTCTTTCCTTCACCGTCTTTTGGTTGAGTTTTTTTTTTTCTTTTTTTTTTGATCGACGAACACTTATTAACAAACCTATACATACATATGCAACTTATTCTTATTGTAAGAAAAAAAATGTGCTTCCATAAGATTCCATTTCTATTGTGAATAGTGAAAAAATTTTTTTGTTTAGATTTTGCATATTAAATAATATGCGACGCATTTCGTTCCGTTCAATTTTTTCGACTATTGCATTATCAGCTTGTTGTATTGTATTGATATTTCTTTTTACTAACTTGAATAATCATCCAAATGAGATAGAATCTCTATCAGTTAAATGTGATTGTCCAACATTAGCACAACCTGCTTCAAAAACAGAACCATTAATTGTTCCAAAAGCAGAAGTACCAGTTACTCCGAAAATTGATGCAATAACTAGTACTCAAACTCCACAACCATTACCTCCTTGTAAAGAAGTTGAAAACGGTTCACCTGTACAACGAGCAATTATTATTTATTATCCACATCATCAAGGTGAATATTTTTTTCCAGAAATCAGATGGTATGTATAAATCGTAAATTTTATTATAAATAGACAATCAAGTTCTTTATTTAGGTTATATCGTTCTTGGGCTGAAATGTTACGTGATCAACCACCAATATGGCGTACAGATTTTCTTGTATTTACATATAATTTTTCAGCCGAATTTCGAAGTCTTGGTTGTATTAATCGTATTCGTCAAAATAAAGAAGAACCATCTGTATGTCGTCTTTTTCTCTATGTTCCTATTCAATTTCGAACAAAAAATGTCACTGATAATAATTATGAACATGCATTTGATCATTCAAAAAATTTAGCAAAAATTTATAATGAAACTTCAGAAGAAATGGTTACTATACCTAACACAAACGATAATCAAACATATGATGCTAAACGTTCAGAATTATTATTTGCTATTCTTCGAGCATATGGATATATTGATTCAATTAATACAATATATGAAGGTTATAAAATGTTTAAAATGTATGATTTTGTTTTGAGAACTGATATTGGTAAAAAACAAAAAAAGATTTATTAAATGTTGACATGTAAAAAATAATGAAAACGAAAATTTTGTTTAGATGTTTTTATTTATCGTCATTTTGGAAAATATATTCCGCAAAATTGTACTCTGATAACTGGTGGTGGCGGATATGGAACAGATTTTAATCGAAGAAAATTAAGACGTATTGCTCGTGATATGGATTTTTCACATATTGGTTTATCTGGCATGGGTTCAACATGGTTCGTTATATATATATATATCCTAATCAATTAGCATTAAGTTTTTGTTTTTAGGTATGGGTCACCTTATGATGGATATTTAGTAGCTAATCAAACATTACATGCAATGCTTTGGTTAGCACAATATGAATTTGCGACACCAGAACGAGAATCAAAATTGGGTACATTAATGTGGCCAGAATGGTAAATTTCTTTTCAATAAATAGACTAAGAAGAAAATCTATATATAATTCTATTTATAGTATATCATTGACAGTGTAACAAGAAAAAAAGTCTTAAAAATTTCCGAATGTTTATTAAATTTATATATATTGAGTCACAATAGATGTTTAGAGTGGAAAGAAAAAATTGATCTGATAACTGTTGAAATAGTCCAATCTTAAGTTTTGATAGGTTTTTATGTCAAGCAATTATTGACTTTTCGAATGGGAAACTTTTGTTAAGAGATAATTTTGAAATTTATCACACAAACATTTGTTATTTTAATTTTTTTCAAAATAATTGATCAAATTGTTGGTATAAAGAGTACCCTATAAAAAACTGAAGATAAATTGTCAACGATTTTTCTCAGACTGTTTGTTGATGTAGAAGACAGAAATTTTGATCGCACATATCCCTAAATTAAGATCTTTAATATTTCAAGGTTTCAACTCTCTAGTTAAAACTAGTGCTGAAATTCATGTATATGATAAAAATACATGCACTTTCGCACTTGATTTTTGTGACTTTTTTTATTTTTGGTCAGTAATATGTATAAACATCTGATGGAAAGAAGTTTTACAAGAAAAATGTTTTCAAAAACATAAATTATAATACAATTCAATGTGAATAACTTTTCATTGTTTTCTATTTTCTAATTACAAAAACTTTTTGCGCAAATTTTCTTGTTCAGTGCACTCACACATTTTCAGTTCTTCGTACAGATTCTATATGTTCATTAAAAATATATGCTATGAACCCTGCGATTATTTTTCCATGTTGTTTTGAGACGATATAAATTCAACACAAAACCTTTTAGAATCTTTTCTGTTTTCGAAACTGATGGAAATTTAAGATAGAAATTTATCATTAAATCTAAAAGATTCTAGATATCTATCCTTTTGATTGACTGTGTAGCAAAAAAATGTTACAAAAAACTTTGGTTTTCTACATAAAAAAAAATATGAAAAATATTGTTGAGAAGTTATCCTCAGTTATTATGGGATACCGGTTACACGAGTCAAATATTATGGTTTCGGCTTTTTTTTCTTCATAACCTATGTATTTTCAATGTATGGAAGCGAAATATGTTTGTCTGATAAATATTAGTCTTTGTCAAATATTTAAATATATGAATCGATAACTGTTTATATTAGAAAAAAAGACAAATTTTATGGTAATGTTTCTCTATATAAATACAATGGAATTCAAATGAAAAATTAATCTAAAAATTCGAAATTTTAATTTTTAATTAAAAGGCATTATGGTGTTTTGCTTCTCTATGGTCAACATTTAGCAATAAATCATTTAGTTGGTCAAAATCAAATTCGAATTAAAATTGGTTCCGATCTTCTTGATCAATCAACAACAGATACTAATCCACAATATGTTCAACAAGGCATTCGTCTTAATCTTCATTGTTGGCATACAGATAATCGTTTTTCTAAATTTGCTTTTAAACTTGGTCATTATAAACAATCAGAATTAGAAAAATATCGAAATGATACTACGGCTCAAGCTTATGTAAAGAAAAAAAAATTTCTTTGTTTTTATTTGTTTGAAATGTTTGGTTTCTTTTTTTTTCTATTCAAGGCAATGCGAATGGCACTTGAATCCAAATATATGACACTTGAACAAATGGCAAAATTAGTGCGAAGTACTACATGATCTTAAGAAACATTTAACTACTTTCGTGTTTAACCGAAGACTAGAATTTTTCACAATAAAATTTTAATATAAAAGAAAAATATTAAAAAAAAAAACACAAATAAGTATTTGTTTATCAATTCAGGCATTTAAATGGTTTTTTTTTCTTCCTATTGTTATTTCTGTGTCTTTTATAAATAAAACAACAGCAGAATAATAAATACTAAAGTAATAACTTAATTATTGGTTACTCAAGATGTTTCAACAAGTGTAATCATTATGGATGATAGGAAATATCAACATACATTTTGGGAAGAAAAAAACTCATTAATATTCACTGTCAGACTGATCTAGCATCCATTATAAACAAGAGATATAGAACATAGTTCGTCTTTCTCATGTGTTTGTCGCTGTAAGTTTATTATTATCTATACTATTAGATACAAAAACATTATGCTGAAAAGGACAAGTATTCCGCCGCTATATGCTATATTATTATAAGAATGTGTTTCAAACTCAATATATGTTTTCATATGGTCTTATTAATAGATGATTAATCTCTTTTTGTATATCTCTTTTATTACAGATCGACTAAACAAGAATGATGTGTATAATTGGATGATACACAACACATTGATATTATGTACACCACTTATGTAAATAAAAACTTATCAGAATCAAATTAATCTTTAGATAAGAGTAAGATTAGTAGTTTTTCTTTCGTTCGATGTGAGGGGCGTACTTCAGTTGATAAAATTGATTTTTTACTCTCTTTGGCTTTAGTGTTATCGATTGACTTTTTAAAATACTTACTTTTTAAGTGCAAAAAAGGGATTTAAAGTTCAATGACCAAAAAGACTCTCTCAAAATTGGCGCCAATGTATATAAACGTCTGTATATATAATAAAAACAAAGCTTAATTTAAAAAAATGATCTGGTTATACCCAGTATCTTGACATGTTCTTTCAAACAAAAGAACTTTAAATATATAGTACGAGCCTTCACAAAGAGAGATTTGGGATGCACGATCGAAAAAGCATATACTGTGAAAAAAACGAAAAACCTGTTCTGTTTTTTCTAAAAGCAGCATATTTTTCGAATCGACGACGACGGAAATCTTCACAGATTTTTGGAAAAAAAAGAGGTACCAAGTAAAAGTCTTTATCGTTTATAAAAGACCAGACGGGTGTGGGTGTGCTATCTTCTTCCACACCCACACAAAGATTCTCGTGGAAACTAACGGGTGGGCCATAAAGAATTGCACTTTTTTGTTTTCGCTATAACTCAGTCAGTTTTGATGCTATTGGCCAAAACCTTTTTCAAAAAGATTCGCCGTTCAATTCTCTACAAAACCATATGTAAAAGATTTTTGTAAACTACCAAACGGCTAAGTTCTAAAACGAAGAGAACAGGTGCCGAAAATGTTCAACTTTCAAGCTCAAAAACCGTTTTTTCTCAAATTTGTTTTCTATGGGAGAGCTACGAAGGAACTAAGACGACCATCTTAAAGAGCATTAAATTGTAGA